CGGGGGGGGGGGGGGTCATGGGTTCGCATGGTAGTCAATTTGTGGCAGTAACTGCCCTTAGAGCCACAAGTGCTGTTTCAAAACGTCACTTTCATCCTTGCAAGAGTGAACTGTCGTAGACGATCACTAATTCGTGTTCTCCTTGCCAAGGGGCTTTCTGGAGACAAAATTCATCGGCAAATTTAGGCTGTGTACGGCGCCAATGCCGTGTATTTTCCAGGGCGTCAGGGTCTGGTGAATGACGTTCTTCCCCACTGATTCACATCAGATCTACCAATCGGAACTGTGTACTTAAAAAAGTGCGCAGTTAAATACAAAAAACACATTCGACAGAAATAAAACCTGGTGGGCGTTGTTAAGCGTTGGTACTGTTTCAATCACAAAACTGCTCTTGAACACTTGGTCGATGTGATGTGCACGCCCTCATGCTTATCGGAGAAACAGTGGATAGGGAGGCTGTGACGTCAGAATAAACCCCAGAGATCATCGCTCCCAGTAGCAAAGGCTGCCAAAGTCTCGAGAATTGGGCAAAACTATAAATACCTGACGAAATTACCCAGTGGAAGAGCGACCAATCTCACTGTAGACACGTAGACGAAAGAAATTCTTTCTTTCGTCTACGTGAATGGACTCTGAGGACCACAGCATGAAGGCGTGTGGTGGCGCGGAGGAAAAGCTCCGGTCTCTTTCATCCAGTGTTAAGGAAGCCACGTGTCAATTGAAGACAATGCGAAACATATCAATAAGAGATTGACCTTTAGGCTTCAAATACCAGTGTGGGTGATTACTCTTCAGACAATAGCAGGTGGTACACTGAGTATCCGTGGGGCGGTCACCCCCATGCAATCCCACGTGTCTGAATTTATGATGGCAGCAGATGTGCCAGTCCTTCTTTAAGGCCCATCAATGTCTCCCACATCCTCAGAGCGACGGAGAACGAAACAAGAAAAACTTTTTTTTAAACACTTTTCGCAGCCTCTAATGCATTTACAAAGCTTTTGGTTTGTAAATCTGGAGCTTTCGGATATTCTCGCTTTACGTCTCTGTCGAGACTATTCCAAATGAATGAATAACTTAAACTAGGTCACAAACAGGAATCGCCTGATTGTATTAGAACTGGCGGACACAACGTAAACGACCCACAAGAAAAGTGGAACAGCTTCGTTACTAACAAAGTTGCTTAGCTAAGTGTTAATCGGATTCAGAAAACGAATTGGTCTCTGCGGTGCACAGGCTATTCACTGCTGTAGATTCTATGAGTGATTCAAATCATCTTGAATTTCAAATACAGTTCCGTAACCATCGAGAATCGAAATCATTCTCATTTTAATTAGGAATTACGTCAGGAATAAGATCCTGAATAAATGTCACTAAGTCAGTCGACACCCTGTATAGCAATAATGAGAAAATATAAAGTCAGAAGAAGTTTTAGTACGAATATAATGCTAAGGATATCGTTAAACTAGAAATGAAAGGTTTCTGGAGCTGCAGGGTGGAATGAAGAGTTCTGCTCAAGACTGAACAGGTCAGAGAACCTACTTCTTGAAGCAGAAGAACGAAAGGATTATCCCCTGATCTGCATCGGTGAGAAATTTGGTCTCGGACTCGATAGTCCGATGTGCTTTGTATTCATTTTACGTCAACAAAACGTTGCGCCCGAATGCACAAGGACAAAGGCGCTCTACAAGAGAAATAAACCACTTTACCCCGTCAGGGAAATGATGGACGACGCCAAACCACTGAGAGCCTCCAACCATAAAGCATCCAGTAAGAGTTGAAAAATTATACTAGTACCTACAGATGGCTGACAATTGGGATGTTGGGCCTTGTAGTCTGATAGATTATTTTCCTACGTTTCGGGAGAGCTTACTGTTTCCGTCATCAGGGTGAACTATGGTGGGCAGAAAGCACATCTGAAATGTCGGTACATATGCACCAGACTTCACAGCACAACACCACCCGGAGGAACTAAAATCTCATTAAATGGAATTCCTGTAGAGCTCAGTCTGTAAATTGGTAGGCTACAAGCTGGACGTCCAGGGTTAGATTCCTGGTAGAAGCAGGATCATTTATCTCTGTCGCCATGCGCAGACTGGCTCCAACAGAATGGGTACCAATGACCAAGGTAATTACTCACCTCAGTCAAACTCCAATATTAAGAATATGTGGAGCTAACATGCTCAAAAACAAAAAATTGAAGACTAGAATAAAACTTTAAAACATTTTAAAATCAGCTGCTACATCTGAATTCTTTGTATTATTTATATAAATAGTTGGCAGGTGCGTTTAATAATCAGGAACAGGTCCTGCTGTTATGTTCTATAGGCATTCCCTATTGAACCTACATAAACAGATGAATAATTGTCATCAAAGGTAAGTCTGGCAACTACATAAATTATGGAAATTTGACAGATAACAAATTATAACTGGATCAACACCAAAATGTAAACAGCATTAGAAACTCTGGTTAGCTACAAGCCACGGTGGTCTAGCGGTTAGAACGCTGGCCTTGTAATCCTGGGGTCTCGGGTTCGATTCCCGGCGGTGCCCGAATTTATAACTTGTGTTGGGCAAGGCCGTGGTCTAGGCAACACGGAGTTTTCCTCCGTGGCATCCCAACAATTACTCCATTCACACACAGAAGAAGGCAATGGCAAACCACTTCTGGATCATCTGCCAAGAACGTATATGAACAGGTCCCAGTCCGAGAAAAGGATGGAAGGATCCTGTTCATATGGACCTGTCGTCAGACAGAACACTAAATAATAATAATAATCATAGCTACAGGCCACAAAACTGAAGACAACATGACATTTGAACCATTATTTTACAACATATTAAGAGCAACTTTATGAAAACTCAACAGGACATATAAAATTAGACTGTCATCATGCAAAACACATGGTAGAATTTCCAAACACATGCATCAACTGCATTTCTGATGCCAACATCCCTCAAAACCTCTAAACTACTATCAGCATTTCTGAACATGTGGTAACTCAGAGCAGCTCGAAGTAATTCCACACAACTCCTAAGCGACTTTCAACAGCACTTAATTGAAACCTAACCTAACCTTACACAGAACTACTGAAAATGAAAGCCCAGGCAGTCTCCAATACGGAGATGAACACTCAGCCGATTGAGACACCGCTGATCGCTGATGGTATGTAGTACGAAAAGCTCTAATACAGAGTGCGGCTGAGGAAACGCATGTTTTCGAATGACTAGCACTCGGCAAGGGGGGGATTTCCGCCCCTTGCTAGTAGACAGCTTAGATGATGCAGTTTCAATTGCCATGGCACCGTGGACCCGCGAGCATCGGGTGTTTGTCGTTGAAAATTATATCAAAATTTGTGAATCCGTAATTGCCGTTCAGCGTCTTTTCAGTAAACAGTTCAATGTGGAGCGCCGTGGAAACATCCTTGATCGTAACACGATACTCAGGAGGGTTGATGCGTTTAGGACAACAGGGTCTGTTATGAAGAAGAAACCACCTGGCCTTCCCGCGTCTGTGCGTACCCCTGAAAACGTTGAGAGAGTGAGATTTGCAGTGCTCAATAATTTCCTGCTTCCAGAACTACGCAGACGAAGGGTCAATAATTTGCAAATGTGGTTCCAACAGGATAATTCCACGGCACACACGGCGAGAGCATCGATGCAGGTGGTCGGTGGCATGTTTCCCCAACACGTCATCTCCCGTTTCGGTGACATCCCTTGGCCGCCTCGCTCCCCTGACCTGTCCGTATTTGACTATTTTTTGTGGGGTTACCTCAAGTCAAAGGCCTGCAGAAACAAACCACGCAACATCCAGGACCCGAAAGATTCCATTCGCCAGGACATCGCTACTGTGGGGTAAGAAATGTTGGGAAGAGCAATGCAGAATTTCGAGGAGAGGCTGCAAGAGTGCGTTCAGAAGGAAAGGCGTCACTTGACGGACGTTATTTTTCTGAAGTAATTAAAAAATGTTCAACAAAAACTGCATTGTAAAACCTTTCTTTCTGTGTAATTAATTTTTTTTAACTTGAAAATCAACTGAGTTATTGTTATTTGAAAAACATGTGTTTCCTCTGCCGCACTCCATATAACATAAGTGCACTAAAGTCTACCTCTCCCTAGTCCACAAATCGTATATATTCTGACTGTACATTTTAAAGAAAACACGGACATCGCCCCAACTTTGCTAGTAATTATACTGAAGACTGTTAAAAAAGGACGCCAAGCTGACGGATTCTTCTGCGTATTCACTTACCAATTATCATCTATTTCGTTGGTTATTTCATTAACTGTCTGATGCTGGGCAATTGAATATCCAAAATAAGAACCACGGATGTCACCAATCTTGATAACAGGTAGACGCGATTCGAGGTTAAATGTCAACACACAATTAAAATTGAATTGCACTAAGGACACGAACAACATAACCAAGCACGACTCCATTTTTGTAATATTGAACTATCTTAATAGCTTTCCACTAAAACTCTAGCGTATATAAATCGTGCAATATCAATTATGATGAACAAAACCGAACATTCCTGCAACCAAACTGCATAATACCACCGCCCCAACAACAACCTACTGCCGACTGACCCAGACTGACCTGTCCTTTACATATGGATAGTTCTGTCAGTAGAACCAACATTATAGGAGTGACGAAATTTCCCATATTGTTGAATATCCCTACATGTGTCACAATGACACAGATATAAAGTTTAACAAAATATTTGATGTATTTGAAATCAACTAGCACGTATCTTATGTATTGCATAATTAGAATATCAGTGAAGTAAAATATCTAAATTTTAAAACATATTGTATAATTTCTCTACACATAAGCATCTGACCGCGCATATAATCACTAAACTTTCTGAAGGAAGCCAATTTCACTGCCGCATTTCGCTGTTTAATTGTTTTCTTTACAGTGCCATCTTTTCAGGTTTTAGTTCATTAGTCCTTGATCAGTGAGGTTGTCGATTAAAGAATGGTGCAATCTTCGATATTTTTGTAAAATTTAAACAATCATTGAACATGACGTGATATTGAATAAACATGAACTTTTTCGTCATGCTGCGAAGACATTATCTCGTAAATTGTTGTCAAAATTGGTACGGCATTGACGACGTCAGGGGTTAATTTGCAGTTGATGCCATCGACCGTCTGTTGGTTTCATTTAACCTTGTCTACTTCGCAAGACGTAAGTCGGGTTTCTGACCTGTCAGATTAGGCGGGATAAGCGTTGAGTTTTCTCATGACTGAAATTACCAAAAATTACACATTTCAAGTGAATAGTCAATCTAACAGGAACCATGGCGTCTAATTCTATTGCTGTCCATGTGTTGATGAAGAAGGGTAAGCGTGGTGCAGCTGCATATGTGCACGCAGGTTGCGCAAATTCAGCATCACCACAACATCTTTGTGAATTATTGGACGTGTTGCTAAATCCAGAGAAAACTATTGATGAGTGGGAAACCATTGATTGGGTCAAATGGTTGATGGCTGGTGGACGAACACCAGATGAATTTTCTAGTATAGGTAAGTTGCTTTTTATGAACTCTTATCATGCCTTAAAAGTATATGAGCACAATGATGCATTTCTGTACTGAAAGCACCAATGCACTTTGATGTTTTAGTTGTGGAGTTAGGTTTATTTATTTGCACAGTGTATTAATTTCCCAGTTGTCATATTCTTAGGATACTATCATTGCAGCTGTTTTGAATATATAGTATAAACCATAATAAATTAAATACAATGTAGTTATGTATCTTATTATATCTCTTGTCAGGTATTTCTGTAACCACATTAATTTAAACCCATAATATAGCTTAATGTATTGCTCCTAGAATTTGAAGATTTCTGGATTCCCAAACTTGGAGTTTACCTGTATTCTTGATCCACAGCTGCTTATCATCCCATATTGGCTAATTTATCTACTGTTTAATTATACTCTTTTAGCTGTAGTGAATGGAATGAAATTGAGTGCTACCTCAGCTAAGCATTGAATGAAAGGAGAAACAACCTCTGCCTCATTTATCATACTAGCTTGATTGAGGTTCTTATGGTTTTCCTTAGAATGCATTCAAATGTGTGGCCTGTACCTCCCCACATCCTTCTAAACTCACCATTTTTTCCTGAAATTTCTAGTTTGGTGGTACATAGCCTGTACAGTTACATAACATTGTAAAGTAACTGATCATAACAGAAAAGTATCTGGATTTCTGGCTAAAACCAGTTACAAATGATTCACAGTAGTACTGAACGGTCTATTATGAATTTGTAGTTAAGTCTCTTTCATAGAGAGTTTAAAGGGCAGTACTTTCCAGTTTTCTGTTGTGTGTTAGTTGCGTTTTTCGTGAAATGGATGTTCTGTAGCTTCTGGGAAGTGTGCTGTGGAATATTGACATCACAGTAATGGTTATGCTCAAGATGTTCATTGCGTTCTTGTGGATTGTGATGCCATGTTATCTTGTAGGTGATTGCCAATTTTTTTTAAGCAACGTCTTGCCACCATCTTTAGGTTTGAAGATACCCAAAATGGGTACCTCTATAATACATGTCTTAGCGTATTGCCAGTACACCAACCTGATTGATTGTAGTGTTCATGACCTATTTCAAAATATAAAAAAACTGAGGAAAACCATGAAAACCCCACTCAAGATAGCCAGTCCTTAAATAGGGATGAAACAGAGTACTGAACCTCCCAGATATATGTCAGATGCTGTGCTAATGTGGTTAGTGTAATATTTTGACACAGCAGTCTTTCAAGGAGGGAAATGAAGTGTGGTTGCTTGGCACGGATGAGAAAATGTTATTTGTTTTAATGCATTATGTCATTTATCAGAATTACTAAGTGAAACCAGAAGAAATGCCTGTGACTGAACTGGCCTTGATATTTGATATGTGAATCTGAATTTGTGGTATGCTACATCTGAATCAAGAGGTTCTTAGCTTTATTTATTGTTATGAAACAATCCAATTTAATAATATTTAAAAATATGTTTATATCCAATAAGAACTGTGTTGTTTCATAACAGTTGGGCAATGATCCTATCTGTACACAAGTTAGAATTGGTAATTTAACTCAAAATGTTTATGTAGTTTTAGAAGTATTATTCTTGAAATGTAACGTTGTGGGCTACTGACTGATTGGCCACTGAAGGTGACCCCTTGGGGTCGAAACTCGTTTCGAACAAACAACTTGGACAAATTTCCTGCCCAATACAGTATTTTTGTGTCTAAGTTTTCAAGGTAACTAGAAGATAGCACTCATGAACTGAAAATTTGCAGGCAATAACAGAGGTAATGTGCCTGGATTGTTATGCTTTGTGTACATTTCCTATCTTCTTTGATTAATCTTTTAGTGTGAGCTGTTAATATTCTTAGGAAATGTTTGTTTTAGCTGTTTTTAACATTCCACTACAATTAGTTCGTAGGTATGACAATGCTACAACTTGTGGGCTAGTGTGGACAGCTAATTTTGTGGCATATCGATGTCGTACGTGTGGCATCTCCCCTTGCATGTCTCTCTGTGCTGAGTGTTTCCAGAAAGGGAACCATGATGGGCACGACTTTAATATGTTCCGAAGTCAGGCAGGGGGTGCTTGTGACTGTGGAGACACATCTGTCATGAAAGAGACTGGGTAAGTTTTGTTACATAACATAATATTTTATGTCGGTGTTGGTCACCTGAGTTGTAATACCATATGGACTTGTAGGTAGGTACCAGAATTTTAGAGGAATGTACCATCTCCATCTGCAGGGCAGAGTGTTCCTCCAAAAATGTTGGTTTTTGGTATATACGAAAAACCCATGTCGTATTACAACCCAGAAGACCAACATCAACAGCTTCAGTATCATTACAACTTGAAATCTCATGATGTATTACATTTTTAATTTGTGAAATGTTGGGATAAAATTGCATGCTGTCAGTCTTAGCATATTCATAAATCCAATAGTTTCAGACAGGTTTCATTATGTGTTGAAGCTGAAATAATTCATAACCCATAAGAACACCATTGTCATCTTCATGACCTTGAGAACCTCTTGGACATGGATTTGTAGGGAACACAACTTGATAGTTGTCACCACCTCTTGGTTTGTGTTGTTTCGGTTTGTCTGTTGTCTGAAGTCATTTTTATTTTTTAAGACAGTTTCTTTTATTCATGTATTTTTACTGTGTGCATGGTCATAATTTGGCAAATGTTGCTCTACTTTACGTAGTAGAAGAGTCTCAGGCAGATAAGACAGTACAATTGCATCTTTCTCTCTTTATAAGTGTCGCTGCCGGCGTACAGAGAATAGATCTTAATCTACAGCCATTTTATACTGATGATTTCAGATTTTGTGATCGTCACGGACCTAAATCTCAGGTGAACAAACCATCAGCGCCCAGTGATTTGATGTGTGTGGCTGAGGCAGTGATGCCTCGCATCATACTGCGGCTCATTCAGCACCTCAGAGAGCACAGGTACTGGCATATTCCATCATTTCATGTGATCTGTGATACTGCAATCAGGAATTTTATTTTCTACGTTCTCATATTGTTGCAGTAAACCCGGTGCACCTGATTCATATCTGATAGCCATCCAGGATGCAGACTCATTTCTGACGATGCTTCATGACTTCAGCGCAATGGGTGCTGCCATGAGGCAAGTGATGACTGGTGCACTTACCAACCCTCAAATCTACAAGAATCTCACAGACTGCAGCTTGGAAAGTGCCAGTTCTTCAGAATATCATGCCTATATGGTCGAGAGCAAACATATTTATGGAGAAGCCATCAAATCTCTTCCAAATCCTGAACCACCAGATGAGTACAAATGTTCGTCCTACAGCTTTTTGTTTCATTGTACATGATTCATTGCCATTTGCTGGACCCTATGAAGAGAAATTTTTTTAAAATTTAAATAAACTTCATTAAATTTTAGTTATACACGGAGAGATGTTTGTACCTAAATTGTTCCGGATAAGACATAAGTGCTCCGCCCATTTTTTACTGAACCAAAGTGTGGAGATGGATGTCTTAGCACCGTGTAGTTTCTTAGATATTGGCCAACATGTCAGAAGTTCTTACTGCCTCCACCATCAGGGTGCTGTGTCACAGAAGACATCCATTTTTGTACTCATTGCCATGAGAATCCCAAGTCTTACTGGGCTGAAGCTTATTTATTAATTCAAAAGTAGTTATTGGTGGAGGAATGGAATGTGTTAATGTATGCAATGTTTTCATTCTTGTTGTTCAGTTTTTAAAATATTTGTGAAAGAGGATGAATGGTTACATTACCACATCTTGTTTTAGACTGCCCATCCCTCCAGGAACATCTGGTACATCGAACGTTCCTTGAAGAACTGGTGTTCTGGACTGTAAAATTTGAATTTCCACAGAAAGTTGTTTGTCTGTTGCTCAACATGTTACCAGACCCTGATTATAAGGTTGGCATTTTGCATGTTATTTCTTTGCATTCCGTTGAGGTAAAGACTGTTGTGAAGATTAATAGTTTAACTTTCCAAAATACACTGCATTTTTCATTGTCTCCTGGGAATTAAATCAGCAATTTTACATACAAACCCTCACAGAAGGATAGCAGTAGTGACAAGCGTCGTCGTATGTTTTTCAATGTGTTTGTCATCAGCTGCTTCACTTAATTCACTTTTTTTTGCACTGGCTCTTTAAAGTTGTGAGTAGTAATCAAATAAGAAACAAAGAAGAAGGTTAGTATGTTTTGTACTGGACCACGATAGTCTTTTAGCCAAGTGAAATGTCGTCACGTAGAATAATTTTTTTTTAAATTCGACAAATTCTTATTACAGGAAGCTTTAACACAAGCGTTCGTTCTGCACTACAGTCGAATTTCAATGATGTTGGAACGCTCAACCGATCCCGATACACTTTCCAACAGAGTGGTTCATGTTAGTGTTCAATTGTTCAGCAACGAGAGCCTAGCGTTCAGGATGGCCGAACATTTAAACTTGCTTCATGTTATGGTGATAAGCCTCAAGTACATGATGAGCAAGATTCTTCTCCAGAACACCCTGCATGGTATGTACATTATTTCATTTTGAAATTTATATCACTCTGAGTGTGTTGTTATGAAACAGAAATGCACGGATATTCGTCAGTGTGCAGGTACAGACAGATTAAGTTGGTTTATTGAATCATTGATTTTTAAAATATGCATATTTTTTTTTTTGCCCATAGTCCTTGTGAAAATTAGGGCCCTAGTCATATCATTGCCCTGTTCCGTCAGCTCCAATTTTGCTGCTTTTCCATTCTGTCAGATTCTAAATATGTGGGATCTTGATGCTGCATTGGTGCTGGAAACTGACGATAATTACTCGGGCTTTAAGCAGTTATTTCTAATGTCAACCAAGAGATGGCACAACCTCACTATTACTGAACAATGCAGAACATTTTTATGAAGCATAACAGGCATTTTGAGTCAATTTCCGTGATTTCTGTGTATGGCTCAGATTATGTTAAGGTGTTGCCAAATTTGAAAATAAACAATATAGTTCTGACCGAACCAGAACTGACCAAGTTCATAAATTAACAGGGTCCAATTAGTGACGTTTTACTGCGCTATACAAAGAAAGAAACACCAGAATGAGGCCGAACGACATACTGACAATAGAACGTACAAGATACAGTGGAACTAGTCCTGGTATTTGAGTCTGTTTTGCAGTGTGCTGTTCTGATGTTACAGATCCTGACAAGAATTTCCACTTTGTGGTAGACTGCGCACTTAATGTGATGAGAGAGCACTGTTATTGGCCTCTGGTTTCTGATCTGAACAATGTGCTGTCACACCGTCCAGTTGCGGTCAAGTTCATGAGTGATGACAACTTGCTGGAGATGTGGTTTGCGTTCCTGTCGATGTTTCAAGGTGAGAACGCGTCACACAGTATCTCCTTTGTTTTCATTTGATACAGAAGTACAGAAGCTTGTTACTGTCGAGTATTGTATCCTTTGTCTGTAATATGCTGTATCAGAGTAAAACCTTGTATTTATATTCCTGTCATGTCCATTTTACCATTATTTACACAGTAATTTCTCTGTTCTATTAATTTGTAAGCCATTTCAATGGTTTTAATTTTTGCAAAATGCATGTCACTTAATTTGAATTTATTTTGATTTCTTATCGTTTTGTGTGTATGTCTGATTGGTCAGCATTTCCTTTTGACCGTAGGCTATGCTGATACTTTTGATGTCATCTTGCAATCATTATTTTAGCATCTGATTTTTTAGTTTTTCCAAATTAGCTATCAGCACTGAAATTTTTTAGATGAATTTGCATGTTGAGAATACAAATGGAAAGAGAAACGATATCCTCAGAAGAAACCCTCATCATATCACAGGATATTGACAGACTGTTTGGAAACTCATATCTTGTTGGCGAAACAAGCAGATCAAGGCATAAAATTATTTTTGAAGTCGTAGATACAGTGCTTATTCTGTATGAATCTATTGTAGTGTCTAACAGACAACTTTAACTTGTGAGATTTGATTTTTACATGATACTGCATAATTTTGGTTAATGAGAATTATATACTGTAAAAAAATTTAATACATTGCATAGTAATTCACCTGTGCTATATGCTAGGCATTCCAATTGAGGGTTAAAGTGAAGGTAAGTGCTAACCTTATGATTTTTGCTTTTTCTGCAATTTATGCCATGTTTTATTAGTCCTCAGAAAATTTTAAATGAGGGGTTCTGCTGCACTTACAGGTATGAATGTGAACCTCCGAGAAACATCTCAGCACGTCGAATTTGAGCCCAACACTTACTATGCAGCATTCTCAGCTGAACTTGAGGCAAGTGCGTACCCCATGTGGGCCTTACTGTCACATCTGTCGGACTCCAGCACAGTGGAACTAACTCGACGGGTTCTCAACAGCTGTCAGATCGCATTGCAGGACTGGCTGGATGCCATCCATTTCACTCACCCACATATGGTAAGAAACTTCATCTCATTTCTGGTGATACAGTCAGTCTAGTGTTTGGTAACATTAATTAAATCTTCTGTGACTTCTTCTTCT